GTTCTCGCTCGCGTTTGCGCCTCGCTGTGATCGTGTAACAGCCAGGCAGCTACCTTCGAGGCGCAAGCTAAGAGCGATACAGACATATATATATTTATATATACATACTAGGTATATCTTCAAATTGATAGGATACTCAAAAAGATTTAATCAGTATGAACGATTTATAATTTCTGTGGTAGTTGTTTTTGTTTAATTTAATATTTTTGCTTTTGCGTGATATTGAAATATGTATTTTTATAGGACTCTGTGTTCCCTATTGTGCAATCTCGAATCTCGATCATCATTTCTAAGTATTATGCATGACATTCCATTTAATTAAAATTAGTTGCGGCTAACGATTTACATACTTGCATACAAATATTTATACATATATATTAAAAGTACATATATATAGCTCTCAAATAAACGCATAAAAAGCTGCATTTATAYATAAATATTATCTATGAAATTAGTTTAAGTACAACAATGTGAGCAGTTAGACGGACTCGACGACCAGGTTCGTTTTAAAGATAGTATTCTCATTGTGGAGCGCCTCGAGTTTCGTTATCTCGAAGGCTTGATAAACTTCTCGAAAGTCCATAATGTTGCGCGGTGAGCTGTCCATCCAAAACCGATCGAACTCGAAGAACAAATAGCAATACAGCTTATGGAAGTCCTCGAGCGTGCTAAAGTTTTGCTTATGCAGCGCCACCTGATTGTAGAAATGAGTCTTGGCCGCACCAGAGCGCAGAAGATTGACGGCCAAGGCGGTAAGGTTGATGCCAACAATGGCATATGTGTACCCCAAGGTGGGATGCATTGAGTGGAGCAGGACGTGCTTGGCGGCATCATTGTAGGCGCGCGCAAAGTACAAAAGATTCTCGAGACCCAGCATGCCCATGCCGCGGAAGTCCGTTTTGGGATCATCGCCCTGAAAGCCAATTTCTTGCCATTGCTTGGAGATGCGACCTGTTAGCGGCGTTTCGGGCATCAGCAGTTTCCAGAGCTCCAGCAGCTTCTGTTCGTGCTCCAGATTCTCAGAGTCGTACGCCTCGGCACGCAGTTGTTCTACTTGATGCATTAACCGTTTATAGCCCCAAATTGTGGTCACACAATTGCCGAAGAGCCTACCAAAATCGGGATGCACATTGCTTTTTATGTGTTTTACGCGGCCGACAACACTGACTGCATGTGTAGCTGTTCGGGAAAAGGTATTGTTAGCATCGGAAAGGTGGGAATGCCATGTGCTCTTTGCTCACCAAAATATAGCAACTCTCTGTCCGTTACATAGGGGCCTGCCTCGTCCAGTTCTCTTAACATTGTCTTTATTTCCGGCTGCTTCGATTGTTGGAGGGAGCGCTCAATTTGGTGGCATCTCGGCGCACCAGCTCTTGCGCCATAGCATATGCGCTGGAGCTCCGAGAGGCGAGTGAACACATGCAGGAACCATTTGATAAATGGACGTATATAACTGAAGATAAACGGCAAAATTCTGTCCAATAGAAACATTTTGCGATAGATAATGTCCGTAATATAAAAGAAGACTTAATGCTTTGTTTAACGCGGCGTTGCCATGGCGTCGCGCCTACGATTTATTTGACACAACACCAAAATAGAACCAGAAAACAGCGTGGCCAGAGGTTACGTTTGTAAATTTGCTAATTTGTGCAATACAGCAGCTGAAATGAATAACAGCGTAACTCTTTGTTATGATTTTTATGAGTCGCTGTACAGTGCTGTAAGATGCTTTAATTGCTGCAGCTGTTCTAATTGAAATGTACGTTAACAGCACTGACAAATCAGCTGATCGAGATTCAACAATTTAATATTGGGTTAAAGTTGAGCTTCAAATAAATCAATTTTGCTATTAACTACATATACAAAATTTAGATTAACTATTAAAAAATTGCCTATAAAAACTTTTTATATTAGAAAAAAAAAAAAAAAAAATGAAATGAAATGATCGAATTGTCTTGGATGTCTCGAAGAAATGTAATCTCATCATCCTTCTGCTTAAAAGGATATACATATGTACACATCTTATATACAAAAATAATGTGTAATTGATTTCGTACTTTTTTATTTCAAAAAAATACTTGTCTATATAATTCTTATATATTAAGTTTTATGAATGAAATTTAGTTAAGAATAATGAAAAAAAAATCGCGAAAATGCGATAATAATAATTACCTTATCTAAGCATATTTATGTATATATTTTTAGTAAAATTTCAAACGATAATATGATCAGCTGAGCTCAGCTTCTTCCTAACATAGGGCCAAAATGATAAGCCTATAGTGCTGTTGAGGTGTCGTATAACAGGTTTCGGGTTTCAGATAGAGCTATCAAAATTTCTTTATAGCTTAGTTACAATCGAACACTTGATGGCAATAGTCGATTCTAAAGAAAGATTAGCGGTGAAAATGCGAGCACAGAACGGAAGACTTTGGTCAACATTGCACAATGGTGAGGAAAATTCGAATTTCGCTTCTTAACTGGACATTAATAAAGTATTTTATAGAATTTTTAAATAAATTTTTAAACATTTTAATACAATAGGAAAGTATGAGCTACGCAGTTTGGCTAATGCTGATTTGGAGGAAGCTCTTAATGTAAGTATGCACAAATATATACATATGCATGAATAAAAAAAAAAAGAATGTACAAGCGAATTTGGTTAGCACCGGCAATAATTAGCTCTGTAAAATAGCAATAGAAATAAAAAAATATATTTGCAATGTTTTTTGTTAGAATTTGCACTGTAAAAGCTTCAGAAAATCAATTTAGAGCAAACTCGAGAACATGGCGTCGGTGGTGTAATGGTTAGCATAGTTGCCTTCCAAGCAGTTGACCCGGGTTCGATTCCCGGCCGACGCATTGTACTTTTTTGCACTTTTCTGCATTGAATATTTATATATTTTGTTTTATTTACATTCTTAATATAAAAACCTCATAATCAGATTCTAAGGTCATGTTTAAATATTATTATTATTATTATTTTTTTTTAATATTAGGTGCTGAATGATTCGTTTTTCATCAACGAATCAGTTTGCAATGGTTGCGAAATCAATTTACCCGAAAATAGTCAAGCTCGCCAAGAGTTGCGGGAGCTTTGCCGAATTACAGCACAGGATGGCGTTTCGTTAATTATTAAACATGTAGAAAGTGGCCGGATTGTTGCGGTTTCCTTTAATAAGTTGCAGGCAAGTGGACACAGTCAAGCATTGTTTATTTAATAAGATAGAGTTTTCATGTATCAAAATTATAGTTTTCTCCACCCCCTGGCGAGGATAATTTCTTCGTAAAGTTTTATAATGAGCAGGCGAAGAGTCCTCAGGCTAAGGCTCTAATGAACTATATGATTACGATGGACGCTAAGATAGACGTGTGCGCCGAATACAATATGGATTGTGTATGTGAGCTGATGTTTTTGGCCACCTTGCCTGAGTTTGGCAGGCAAGGACTTGGTCGCGCTCTTGCTGAAACCACGATTCAGTTGGCACGTGAGTTGGGTCAGGGACAAGGCTTGGAGGATGTGGCACCAGAATTGCAAGATAAAAGACCTAAAGCGGTTACTGCCCTCTGGACATCACTATTTACCCAAAAAATTGGCAAAGCTGTTGGCTTTAAAGTGCTCAACACAGTACCCTACAGTGAATTTGAGTATAATGGTAAGCGTTTCGATGAGCGTATTAAGCCAATACATAAATTTAGTGAGCAAGTAATGTTCAAATTGTAAATATAAAGTAAACAATAAAGCCCAAATATTTAAAAAAAAAAATTGTAGCAAAAAAGTTAAGCTGTGCGTCGGCCGGGAATCGAACCCGGGTCAACTGCTTGGAAGGCAACTATGCTAACCATTACACCACCGACGCCACGTTGTGAACGAATCAATTTTGTAATCATAAGCGAACAGCAGGGGAGGCTAACATTTGAATAGCATGGCTATGCTATTATTGAATGTTAAATATCATGCTAAGTTAACAGTATCAGTTTAATTGAGTTTTGAATTTTATGTTAAAAGCGTTGCTTTTATTCAGTAAGCAACTTAAAGAAAATTGTTAAAAGAAATAAAACATTTTAAAATATATTTTTAATAAGATTTACATCAGCAACTACCCTTAGCTATATTAAAGGTACCTACTGTTAAATAGAATATATCCGTCTATCCGAGGGTCAACCCTTCTTAAAGCCCATTGTTGATTTCAATTTTTGCACTTTACATCGGCACTTAAAAACGAAAAAAACTTTTCAAATGAGATTAAAATTTATACATAATCCACACACACACATTGCGTTTTCGTTGCGAGTGCTCGGCCAGGCATGCACTCAAGAGGATTTTGCCATCCTTAATGCTCAGTGTCAACACCATATATGGACGTAGAACAGGGATCAGGGCAGGGCAGCGGTAGTGGAAGCGGCATCAGCCTCAGCTTCAGTGTGATAAGCACTTCGTACTGCCTCGACCCAGATCGCTTGCCATACCTTAACAATACATTTAGGTTTTTAATTAGAATTCGAATAATAAAGAAAAAAAAAAAAAAAAAAACGAATTGAAAATTGTTGTGCCAAATGACAATCCATTCAGTTTGAGGCAACCCCCTTCGCCGGCAATTGCCTGCAATAATGATATAGGGTCCCGTTGCATTCGCATTAGATAGGGTAAGTTGCCCGTAGAGGCGGTTACGCTTGATTGTGCTATATGACGTGTATATAATTCGCAGCGTGATATGAATTTAACAGAGTGTGGCATTATCTCATTTGTGGGAGCTTTAATTATACAGTACACTTACATATGGAAAACTGTGACAGGTGCAGAGCAATATGGAATTTTATAATTTGTTTTATCGAATTATTACTGTTATATCCATATTCTTATTTGAATTTGTCTCGATATGGGGCTTGATTTGATGGGGTGATTTTAATCAATTTTAAATATATATATGTATACTTCTTAATGACATTTTCATTTATAATATGTTCCATTTAATATTGCATTTATTGAAAATACTAATGATTTTTCTCTCTTTAATGTAATTTTTCCCTATCTATGTATATTTGTTTTGTTAATTTATTTCTATACATTTTAATTTCATATACTAAACAACAAACGCTTAAAAGACTGTATATAAAGTAATTGGTATTATGACTCCCTATATAGTATTATTGTAATTCATAGTAGAGGGAGAAATGCGATGAGCCTTCGTTCAGCATTGCGAAATATATATTTTTAAATATCAAATTTTGTTTAAATTGAGTTTTGAATTAAAGCTATAAATTTCCAAAGGCTTTCGGTCAAATTAGGTTGATTTTAGAATTCTGAATTATATGCTAGAAATATATATTTTTTCAGATTCTATATAATTCAACTGAATATAATCATAATAATGAAAATCCATGCAAAATGGACATTTAAAAAAAAATTGCTGTATAGATTTTTAAGAGCTCTAAATTAGTTTCCCCACTTGTTTAGGAATCTGTGTTTAAATAACTATCCATGGAGTTTTTATTATCATTTAGATAAAATTGTTAAAGAAAATGTGCCTCGATCTTGATTGGGCCAAATTCATCTCAGTCTTGGCAGTTGGCTGTTAACTGATTCGCCACTAGGCAACAACTTGATAAAATTGAGAACTAATTTGTTTATACAGCTGCACAAAACGAGCAGCGTTGGCAATGAAAACAAAAGCAACAACAACAAATGATGAGATGGCGAACCAAAAAAACAAATTGTTTATCATGGGTAGCCTTAGTGAGGTCGTCGTCGTCGATGATGATGAGGCAGTCAGGAGCAGGAGCAGGAGCAGGAGCAGGGGCAGGACCGGGGGTAGGGGCAACAGACACGGAAAAAAGGACAACAAACAAACGCAACGCAGCAAAGGCGCAACACAATCAACTGCCTTGAGGGGTGAGTGGCTTTATCGAGGACTGTATATATATCTAAATACATACATTCTATAATGTTTCATGGTATTTTGACACCCCTGTCGGGGCGCCGTAAAATATGCAGCAGATACTGCAACAGCAAAGGCCGTTTTAATGGAGTTGTCTCGCAGCCAAATCCTAGACAATGCAAATATTTGCATTAGTCTTTGCGACACGCTGTGCTAATGCTTAAAAATTATGCTGGTTGACAAATTTTTGTGTTGTATTGTTTTTTTTTTTTTGTATTTTCTATATCTGTATTTGCCTAGTGTCAGAGCTTTGTTTGTTTGGCTGCCGCAGTCCATTAATTAGACTTAGATGCTGCTTGAGTGAAAATAGAAAAAGAAAAAAGAAATGATAAAATCATTGCTCATATTGTTGGAGCTGCACACGCAAATAGTGCAGCTGTCTGTTCCCTAGCCCACGCCCTCTTTCCGCTGCAGACACTTGCCCAGTGAAGCCTACTGCATAGGTATACATACCATGCCACTTGTATGCCACTCGGGCAATAATTCCGCTTAAACAGATAAACGCGTTCGTAATCAAAGACCAATTTAATGTGTCTACCATATGAAAATCAGCAGCAAATATCTCATCCCTTGGCTGAGCATGAATAAAAAAAAAAACGAAGAACAAAAACAAAATTCAGTGCACAAACTTAATAAGCTTATTCTACCCCAAAATGCAACCCTGCAGAGGCGAAAGTTTTTGGCTGCTTGGCTCTGATTGGCTGGCAGCCAGACATAAACTCCGCCCATCTGGCAACACTGTTCGATGTGGCACTGCCGCCATTGATATACAGCTAGACAGACAACGTTGGCACGGCAGGAACTACTACCCCTCGCCGCCCCTCGCTTATCAGAAGGGAACGTATCCTGCGCCTGGCACCGGCAAAACAATTTCATTCGCTTTGTAGCTGGCGGCGCGTTCGCTACCAAATCGCGCTTCAATGTTTCACTTAACGGTTTGAATATTTTCACTTCCGCAAACTGATTCCAGTGCATATAAATCGGTCATAGATAGTGTATGAATGTGCAATCATAAATAATAACGAATCCATTGTGTACTTGCTAAGCATAACGGATATTGGATATTGGATGAAAACCCTCGAATAAGGTAAAAAGAGACCTTTGCGATGTTTGTCTCTTACCGTCGGCACTATTAGGATCTACCTATTGTTGGTATATATTTGGAAATTTTGTGAAAGCTAAGGATAATATTTTTATCAGCTAGGTGAAGTATCCCTTGGTAAAATAGAAAAAAATAGAAAAATGAAAACAATCGTGTTGAAGGAATCCTAGAAACTAAAGCTGAGCAAAGGGAATATGAATGTGAATACAAATATTATATTTGAAATAAATCTATATGGATTTGATAATCTCAATAAGAGGTTTCCATTTTTTAATAAATACATCCGAGCGTCAGTTTATAGAATTGAGATTATTCATAGCATACCACAAATATACGTATGTACATATTATAATATCACCAGCTTCAATGAGATTTACGATGTACTTAAGAGCCCGCTAATTTTTTTAAATCGAAATAGAAACATACATATATTAAACAAATATGAATGCAGAGCTGTATGAATATATATTTCGAATTTTTCAGCTTCTAAGTTTAGTAGTTTACCAGATTCCTATATAAATATGAGCGAAAATATAGAAGACTGATAATTAGACAGACAAATGAACTGATGAAAATGTCAGTATCGACTGATCTGATTTACGTGATCAACCATATGCACATAAAGTTATTGGGCTTACCATGCCCCTATATGAATTTACCCAATTCCAATGTGTTTAGGGAATATAAGGGAAACTTACTTGCAGTTGGTATTCTTTGAGAATTTAGAGCATTGAAAACGAAAAGAAGATTGACTTGTAACTCAATTAAATACAATTACATATATATATACATAGTATTTAATACGCTGTAGTAATTACAACTTTTATTGATTCCATTCGCATTAGCATAGGGTACTTAATACCTAATCAAGCTGTGAGCAGTCATACTCGCTATCAGCGGGGCTTATCTAATCGAGAGTGTCTGCATGTTGAACATGTTTATTATCAATTTAACAACCTGGCCACAGCAAGAGCTACCGATAAGAATGCTTTGAGCATTATGTAAACAAATGATGTTTTATGTCCTTTTCATAGTGTTCGAAAATCAAGAGTCAAAGGCTAACGACACGCGTCGCATTTCGCTTGATCGGCACGTGCTGTGCACGTGTTTCCAATTGGATTTATAAGCGGAGGCGTTAGGTTAACCGTTATGCACTTGTTGGACAATTAGCCAACATTAGTTTGTAACATTGAAAAGAAAGGGTAACTGCAATTGGCAAAATGTTCTCAATGGACAATTTCGACTTGGAAGCGACGATGGCTCGCCACTTCTTCGAGGGATCGCAGGCAACGAATGCCTCGAACTCCAGTTCCGAATACTTTTTCGGAGATGAGCACAGCTCGGAGAGCGACGATGACGACGATGCGTACAGCAGTGGCTTCAACAGCGACCAGGAGAACAACGAGAAGACGTGAGTGTTAATTTCAATCAGGTTGCCCAAGGCCCAGCTGCTCCGATAATAACCAATTGCAGCTACTCACTGTTTAGGCGGCGCAGTCACAAGCCCCGTCGCTTGAAGTGCGCCTCCCAGATGGCCCAGCAGCGTCAGGCGGCGAATCTTCGGGAGCGACGTCGCATGCAAAGCATCAATGAAGCCTTCGAGGGTCTGCGTACCCATATACCTACACTGCCCTACGAGAAGCGACTGAGCAAGGTGAGACCTATTGGGTATTCTATATGGATAATAATATAGCAAACCTGTATTATTATATTTTGTTTAAATATCAATTTCAATCGCGATTGATAGACAGCTACATAGTGAATAGCATACCATATAAGTCAGCAAACCTTCAGACCCTTCAAATACACTTTTGATTGTGAATATACAGAATGAATATGCAAAATCGGCAATGTATTATATTTTTTTCCATCTCTTACAAACATATCTAATGATTATTGTTATACTTTATCTCCATATAAAATCAACTATTAATAGACCTCCAGACTCAATTTAGTAACTAAGAAATTCTTAGTTAATTAGAAGTTTTACAGACTTAAACTTTTGCTACATCATCATGAGATCAACAAAATAATTATAAATTGAGAAATATAATATCATATATACTAAAAGAGGAGCAACAATAGTCTAATCTCTCAACTGAAAGACCTTAAAAGGCATTATCTCTATGAAGATCGCCTCTATTATCCCATCAATGATATTTAATTTAATCAAATCTAATTCCAGGTGGATACGCTTAAGCTGGCTATCAGTTATATAACATTTTTGAGCGAAATGGTCAAGAAGGATAAGAACGGCAATGAGGCGGGACTGAGCTTGCAGCGCAACTATCAAAAGGAGCCGCCCAAGAAGATCATACTCAAGGATCGCAGTAAGTTGTCAATCAGGCAGCCAGCCAGCCAGTCAGCCATCAATCAAATCAATCAGCTGTGGGCGGTGAGCGGTGGGCGGTGGTCAGGCCTTTGCTAGTTCTACATCTAATGACATAATTCAGCTGTTGTTCGTTGCATATTTAAAGTGCATTGATGTGGTTGAGGCATCTCGTGCAATTGTCTAAATGAGGGTTGATCACTCTACCCCTCCGTGGCCTCGTGGAGTTTCATCGATGGGGTAGTCTGCTGCTGCTGCGTCTGCCTAAGTGTAACTAATTTGAATTTTCACACTTCTCGCTTCGGCATCGTTTTGCGTGCTTTGCGTGACTGCCAGTCAAGGAAACTGCTGCGGCTGTGGCTATGGCTGTGGCTGTTGCTCATTGCACAGTTCGCATCGATCACGGAATGCTGTGAACTTGGTGCCAGGGTTCCGCTTGGTACGCACACGAAAGGTTTTCATTAGCCTCTTCGGGGAGGGTGGGGGTCCGGCACAATGGATTAGGGTTTTCCGTGTGCCAGCTCATAAAAGTTGCTTTAGTTACGGTTTTTTGGTTAATAATTTTTCTATTCAATATGTATGACACTGCAGACCCGTAATTCCAAAATTCTCAATTGTTCCGATCGAGCTGCAGCATCTGCATAACTAATGCCCGAGCACTTGGTAAGCCAAAGGGTGTTCTCAAAAACCACTGCATAGGGGTCTTTCGCAGTCCGATTTTGACTGATTGGCAGCATTTTTAAGAGTTTTTTTTTTAGTTTTTCAACTCATGAGTGTCACAACAGAAATTAATACTTTGTCGAAAACTAGTTGGCATCAGAATTTATATCTATGATAATGAGTGGAATTTCTACTTTACTTGTATTTAGCTCAAAATTTACAACCTTTGGGAATATTTGAAAAGTGAGCCATTAGGTAGGTTATTCGTATGGGTTTTTTATGGGAAAGTATATTTGAAATACAAGTGTGTTACTACTTGATTAATTTAAAATTGTAAATTATTATAATATTATATCTAAAGAGGAATTTTATTTATAATATTTGTATATCAAAAATCATTTATATATCTGCGTGAGACATCTTATTTCCTTCCCTAAAAATTGTTTAGTTTCCGTTTTCAAACCGTCAAAGATATAGTTCTTCTTTAGTTCCCGAACCGAGAGTGCATGATGTAGACCATTCTGAGAATAGTGTTCTTGAAGATAGACTGATATCTCAAATTATTTTTCAGTTGTTAAGTAATAGAGCTATGCCGTAATACATATATCTCAATACCTGATTTGCAATGCCTTCAACAGGCGTATCCAAAGAAATCTTATCGCTTTATAAGGCAACGCTTTACAGATTGAAAATAACAGCTCTCTACGAATACCAAGAAAAATCTGCATACTTTTAGCACTGCATGTCACCCTATAACTAGTCGAATAGAATATTATAGACTAGTGTTTCAAATTATTTTGCTTTACAGAATTTTGCTTTCTAGAATTTTAGAATAGAAAATATGGAAAAGTAAATATAAATATTATATGATCTGTAATACCTTTACCTTATTAAATATACGGATCTATGTCGCAATGAAAAATCGGATTCAATTATGGAACTCATAC